ATGATCCCGTTTGCCCAACCGTGCCGGTTCCTTTCCCAACCATCCTGTCCTTTCTTAATCGGTTACACTTAACTGATTTTCTGAAAAATACATCTGACGTCTGTGCAGGTGCGGAAGCAAGCCCTGGTGATTTATTACTGGGCCTAAAGTTATTGGGCTGGGGTCTTTCATGTCTAGATGTTTAGAAGTGTCCATTGTATGTTAAATATAGAGGTAGTAAAATATCACTTTGCTAAAATTCACATAAAAAAATATTGTCTTTTGGTAATGGAACTCTGAAACCACCTCTGTGAGCAGTACAATACTGTCTGTATTTGTTGAGTGATGTAGACGAGGGCAGGAACAATTGCAAAGAGTAATATGGTCATGTGTTCATACTTAGACATGTTCAGACTTCACTCCTTCTTATGACTAAATAACAACCCACTGTATGGATATACCACATTTTGTTTGTCTATTTAGCAGGTGATGAACATTTGGGTTATTTCCATTCTTTTGGCTGTTGCAAATAATACAGTCATAAACATTCCTATATGAGTCTTTGTTTGAACACCTGTTGTCAATTCTTTTGAATTGACCTAGAAGTGAAATTGTTGGCCTAACTTTTTTTAAAAAAAAATAATAATCTGGGTGTTAGGGAATTAGGCTACTCATTCTTGAATTGGTCATTTCCCCTAACACTTAGGAAGATAGATAGGATGAGTTCATTAAACTTAACCATTTCTATGTTTCATCTGTATCTCTTCTTTTCCATAACAAAAATTCTGGTTCCCCAGGACAAAAGAGATGATTAAGTAGACTATCTTCATTAATTACCTATTTGTTTAATCCTGAATCATGCCGCAGTCTGGCTGGGCACAAAATCACGAGCCACTCAAGCAGGAACAAAGTTTATTTTTTGAAACTGCCACCAATGTCCGGTACCGCCCGGGAAGATTTTTTCCACCCACGCGGCCTCCTCTGGGAACCGCAGAGAGCTCCTCCCCCGGAACTCCCTCCTACTGTACTTCCCCAACCAATGGGAACTCTCCAGGAGTCCCGTAGCCGGCCTAGGTGAACAGCAGGAGTCCAATATCCATATGAATGCAAATCTTAACATAATCATATCATCTCAATGGCTAGCTGGCCTCACCTTTCGACCAAAAATGCCATGCATCATATACTTGGCTCTTAGCAGAATCACACTACAATCTTTTTTGTAAAGGAAAAATATAATTTCTTTATTTGAAAAATGATACTTAGGGTTTGGGGTTGTGACTCAGTGGTAGAGTGCTTGCCTAGCATGTGTGAGGCACTGTGGTTCAATCCTCAGTACTGCACATAACTAAATGAGTAAAATAAAAGTCCATCAACAACTAAAATTTTTTAAAAATGATACTGAACCTTTGAGGTCAGTTAAATTTACTGCTGTAATGAGGATTCTTTTTAAACTGTGTTGTTCCCTCTCTTAAACAGCTGGAGCTGTACACAGATGGAAAAACATTTGGTCAGTGTTTTTCAGGACCCAATGCAGTCCCCACAGCTCTGCATTTGTCTAGATTTTATTTCTTCTTTGCATTGACATTTTTTCAGACCCAATTTATGCCATTCTGACTCTCTCTCCTGTGCTGAGCAAGACTGGATCATGGATGGTGTGCAGACTCAGTCCTTCCTCAGTTTCAGAGGCAGGGGCCACTATGAGAAAATCCTGCTTATTAGCAAAGATAAGCACTGACATGCAACTCAGCTTTTCTTCCTCTAGTAATTCAGCTAGTTCCTGACCAGTCTCTTCAAATCTTTTTCTGTCTGTACTGTTAATTAAATATATAAGGATATCAGTATTTTCAAAATAAGTCCTCCAGAATGATCTGATTTTCCTCTGTCCACTAGTGTTCCATACATTCAGTTTAAAACCCTGTGATTTGTGATTGTACACTTCTGATGTTAAAACCCTGTGTAGAGGTGATATGGCTGATGTCTTCAGACATAAGCTGCTTCAGCAGAGTAGTCTTGCCAGCATCATCCAAGCCCAGGAGAAGGATTCTCACCTCCTGGTCTGGTGCACTTTTCAACTTGTGCAAAATGAAGAGTAAGCCTATCCTCCCACTGAGTCCCTCTTCCTCCTCCTCCTGTCTCCCTAACTACCACATCACACTATAATATTAAAAGAATAATACTTTTTTTTTTTGGTACTGAGGATTGAACCCTGAGGGGCTTTATCACTAAGCTAAATCCCCAGCCCTTTTTTTAATTTTTTATTTTGAGACAGGATCTCGCTAAGTTGCCTAGGGCCTCACTAAATTGCTGAGGCTGGCCTCAAACTTGCAATCCTCCTGCCTTAGCCTCCAGAGTTGCTGGGATTACAGGCCCACACCACCGTGCCCAACTCAAAAGAGCAGTATTAATATTACCCTTACCAATGTGATTACTGAAAATAGGTTTAATAAATTGTTTTGTGTGTGCTATTTCCATTCCTCCTTCCCCATCTTTTTTAAAGTGAATCTTTTTTTCTACCATTTTAACCTGCATAACCCATTGGTTTTTAGTATATTCATGAGGTACAACCATCACCACTATCTGATTCTAGAATACCTCTATCACCCCCAAAAGAAACCCTGCACCTCTCATTTCCCTTACTTCCCATTCCCTTGCAAACGCTAATCTGCTTTCTATTTCTACAAATTTGCATTTTCTGATGTTTCATGTAAATAGAATCATGCAACATGTCCCCTTTTTTCTCTAGCTTCTTTCACTTAGCATGTTTTCAAGGTTTATCTATGTTATATGTTATTTTAAAAAAATTGGGGGGTTATCAGGGATTGAATTCAGGGACACTCAACCACTAAGCCACATTCCCACCCTATACTATATTTTAGAGACAGGATCTCACTGAGTTGCTTAGTGCATCACTTTTGCTGAGTCTGGCTTTTACCTTGAAATCCTCCTGTCTCAGCCTCCCAAGCCACTGGGATTACAGGTGTGTGCCACTGCACCTGGCAACATATGTTATTTAAAATATATATATTTAGTTGTAGATGAACACAAGGTATCTTTATTTATTTTTATGTGGTGCTGAGGATCAAACCCAGGGCCTCATGCATATGAGGAAGCTACAGCCCTAGCCCCCAACATATGTTATTTTTTAAGTGAAAAAAAAAAATCAAATCAATATAAGGGTGATGGGTACCAAAAGCTCATCTCCACACACAAAGAGTTTGCTCCCGCTGATTTCAATTTGTTCCTTATGGTGACCTGAAACCTTTGGTGAGTGGGAGCCATGTACATATGCCAGATAGCATGAATGGCAACTGCTACCCAATGTTCAGGAGGCAGGATGGGCTGGGATAGGGCTGGGAGAAGGTCAAATCCCAAGATGTGTCTCCCCTTAGCCTCTTAGTCAGAATGGCTCCTGGTGATGTGGGTCTAATTTCCACCTCTACAGGATACTGCAACTCTGCTCTTCCAAATGGATGGGGATTTTCAGCATTGAAATGTGGGCTAATGAGAACACCACAGTCAAAGACCTTGTTCTCCACCTGATTAGCTTTGGGGTATATTATGTCTGCAGAATCAGAGCATGAATACAGGGGAGCAAGTTACAATCTCTGAGCTGAGAGCCCTTCTAGTGTGATTGCTTCCTGTCCTTCATGAAAGGCTTAGCTGAGATATCCCCAAGACTTGGGAAGTCTCTCAGCATCCCCTTTCCCAGCCAGCCCCACCAAAAAATAACATATTGCCACCAGAGCTCTGGACCCTCCCCTCCTATGTGCATGTCAGGTAGAGCTCTGATCACCATAAATTGAGTCAGTCTCCTCAACCAGTCTGGGAGACTCTTGAAAGCAGAGATGGTTGTTTTAGTTTTCTTTTTTTTTCCCCCCTTCGGTACTGGGGGTTGCAACCAGGTACGCTTTACCACTGAGTCACATCCCCAGCCCTTTTTATTTTGAGAGAGGGTCTCAATAAATTGCTGAGGCTGGTCTCAAATTTGCAGTCCTCCTGCCTCAGCCTCCCAGAATAGCTGGGATTACAGGCCTTTGCCACAGTGCCCTGGCCAGAGACTGCTTTATTCATCTTGTACTACCAGTGTCTGCTTCAGAGAGAACTCTCCATCAAAGTGTGATAAGTTAGAGAAGGAGGAAGTCAGTGAAATGACAGTCTTGTCCCCTACACAGTCTGCCTGAGAGCAGTGACTTCACCTGTCCACTGCCAGCTTCCCTTCGTCCCCCCAATAGGAAAACCTAGCACAAGACTGGGTGGGAGGTGACATGCACCGAACTGATGGCTTCATCCAAACTCAGAAAAACACTCATCCATGGGACTTGTGGGTAACATTTTTTATTCAGTTCAATTAAATATTTCCTGCACATTTCTGGATGCTTGGGTTAGAATTTTATCTATTGCAACAAATAAATTGTTCTTAAGCTCTTATATATGACAAATGCACACATTTAAATACAATGTAAGCTAGAATAAAAAGGTCATTGTATACAAACTTTTTTGTTTAAAGTTGTAGATGGACACAATACCTTCATTTATTTTTATGTGGTGCTGAGGATCAAACCCAGTGCCTCATACATGCCAGGAAGGTGCTCTACCACTAAGTCACAACCCTAGCCCCAACATTTTGTTTTTTTAGTTGTAGTTGGACACAATACCTTTATTTTATTTCTTTATTCGTATGTGGTCTGAGGATTGAACCCAGGGCCTCACATGTGCTAGGTGAGTGCTCTACCACTGAGCTACAACCCCAGCCCCTGTATACAAACGTTTTTAAAATAATATTTTATTCTGACATAGAGAAAGGAGACAAGGAGAAGGTGATTGAAACACCACTCCTCTCTCTAGTCCTGGTCCTAGTGTCAAGACAGTCCACATAGTTTCTCTGCTTTCTGCTCCTCTTAGACAGAAGTATTGGCCCTTCCTGAACAGAAACTGGAGTCTGACAAACTATAGACCCTGTTTGCTCCTGTCTGGAGATAAGGCAAACAAAGGCGACTATCCCCAGGCATGGTATCTCAGACCCCTGCAGTCAGAGTCTAGGCCTCAGGGCTCTCAGGTCCACAAGAGCGCACCTGTGCCTGAAAGTGCTCACAGCGGGGATGCTTTACTGTCAGCCCATAGATGGGGGTCATGTCCACCTTCATGCCCGGTGACACACTGAATTCCAGCTGCTGCATAAGAACGGCCATGAAGAGAAAGATCTCTAAGCGGGCAATGGTCTCTCCGATGCATTTGCGCTTGCCCAAGCCAAAGAGAATGACCTTCTCACTCAGTGTCTTGTCCACAGTGCCACTAGAAGTGATAAACCGTTCAGGCCGGAACACAGATGGGTCACCCCACAGCTTCCTGTAACCAGACAGAGGCAGCTGAGGTGGCATCTCAGGAAGTATCAAGTAGGTTGAGCCCCAAAGGACAGGGAATGGGCAAGTGGCCCATAAATAGGAAGATCCGAAGCTCAGCCCACCCTGGAGTTTGGCCATCCCTCTCAACTTACTGGTCATGGTTGATCTGCCACTGGTTCACAAAGACACAACGCCCCTTGGGGATATAAAAGCCATTCAGATTTGTGTCTCTTATAGTGCTGGGGAAGGAGGAAGTTCAGTCAGGCTCAGGGTCTCATGGGAATCCCCCTGTCTCCCATGCCATATCCCTTCCTCCTGATTGGGTGTAGAAACTAGAATAAGGCCAGAATCAGATGACAACTGGCCTATGAGGCTTCACCTGTGGGGAATGGTGAAGGGGACGAAGGAGGAATGTCGGAAGAGCTCCAGGATAAAGGCCTCCATATAGGGCAGCTGGAGTCTGTCAGAGAGCCGGGGCCGCCGTTCCCTGCCAATCACTGTGTCTGCAAAACACAAAGGTCTGGATGTACTAAGGGGCTTCCCAGACCTTGACAGTGTCCCCTGCCTGGAGCCTCTTCAACTAAGTCACCACCTACCTAGTTCCTCCTGGATCTTTCTCTGAATCCTAGGGTTTGTCACCAGGTACATTAAGCCCCAGGAGATGGCAGTTGTGACCGTGTCAAACCCTGGAGAGGGTAGAATAGAGAAGTTAGGCAGGTGGCAGATCAGGGTACATGGACATAGCAATAGCACAATGGGGTAATTCTTACCAGCTCCAAAGATGTCCAAAACGACATTAATGATCTTCTCATCTGACAGTTGAATATTGGCATTCTCATCCAGCCTCCTGTCCTGACAGTGCTCAATCAGGCTGTCTGTGATGTCCCGGATGTAACCCTGGGTAGGAAGGACACACAGGAGAGCAAGATTCTAGGACCAGACTTACTATTGCTATCACTAGCACCTTTGTTCAAAGGTGACACTCCCTGCAGCTGCTATCCCCACTTCTCTCTGCCTCTCCAAGGCCCTTTCCTACTTTAGAATACTGGTAGCCCCAACCCAAGGGACCCCTGATGCAGAGTCTGGTACTGTCATCATCTGCATGTGCTTTATAAATTTCTTCTATTGTGAGGCCAGGAGACTAACTCTTCCTGATTCCTGCAGCAACTGGCCCAGCATCCTGAATGGGGTGGTTATTCAGTGGCTCTTGCTCTCTGATGGAAGCATAGAAGGGCTAATCAAGAAAAGTTCTATTTTCCTGCCAAAGAAGGAGTCCATTCCACTAACAGATTCTAATCCCTAGGATGAAGCCTCCCTGAGAACCTGCCAAACCCCATGCTGTTCCTCTTATCTCTGCTTCCCATCACCTACTTGCCTCTCTCTAGGCTTTACCTTCTCAAATTTTCTGTAGTGCTCCTTGACCAGCTTCCCAATGAAGTGTTCAAACTTCTTATTCAGGTCCTTGAAGCCATCCAGGGTAGGGTTGGGCAGGTAGCGGAGGATAGGGATGAAGTCAGCTGGGTATCCAGAGGCAGCCACCTCCCCAAACTCATTATTCAGGTTGACTAGATCAAGCAGCTCTTGGTTGTTATGATCATAGCGCTGGCCAAAGCAAATGGCGCAGATGACATTGGCAACTGACACCACCACATATCTGTAGGGGTCAAAGTGCCCAACATCTGCCATCAGCTCCTGGAACTTGCTGATTAAGCACTCAGCCTCCTTGCTCACGTGCTCCTCCAAGTAGCAGGAGGATGCAGAAGTGGGGTCCGAGGCTATGGAGAAACTCTTCAAGGCACTCTGGGCCAGGCGCTTGCGGGCAGCCCACACTGGTCCAGAGTCTGGGCTGAAGGTCATGCTCTGGCCATTAGTAACAAAGGTGAAGGTGTAGAAGTCTGGCCGGCCCTTGAAGTCATCACCCTTCCTCACTAGCGCCTGCTGGATGGTGTCCAGGCCACTCAGCACCACCACAGGTGTGGTCCCAATGCGGATCTGCAGCACGTCCCCATATTTCTGGCTGAGCTTTGCCAGAGCCACGTGAGGGTTCTTCCCTAGGGTCAGCATGTGCCCTATCAATGGCCAGCCCCAGGGCCCTGGTGGACTCTTTAGGCCTTTGGGGACCCGAGGCCTTGAGACTCTGACCACCCAGAATACCAGGCAGAAGATGGCAGCAGCCAGGAGCAGCTCTGCGGCTGAGATAGAGAGCGGGAGTCCACCAGAAAGCATGATCTGTGGAGGGATCTTCCAGGTGGCTGCTGATAGGAAAGGAAAAAAAAATCAAGCCATCAGATGGAGGATGGGAGAAGCCAATATCCTAAAATGTCAATATGCTGGTCAAAGAAAGGAAAAAACTTCTCAGTCAGAACTGCTCACTGGGCACGAAGAAGAGAAGGGAGTTGGCAGAAATTGTTAAGTGTATCAAGAATTTCAGTAATTTGTCCTTCAGTCTTGGCCATAAGCTACAAGGGAGACTGCAGTGAGACAAAGAGAGGTTAAGTAATTTGTTCAACGTCACACAGGAAGTGTTAGATATAGACTCCCCACCTGCTTTCAGAACACTTTCTTGGTACTGGGCATGGAACTCAGGCCCTTGCACATGCTAGGCAAGCACTCTACCACTGAGCTACACCCCCAGTCTATTTTAAGTTTTATTTTGAAATAGATAGGCTAACCTTGAATTTGCCATCTTCCTGCCTCAGCCTTCCAAGAAGCTGTGATTATAACTCTCACAACACCTTCTATTAACTGCTGTACCAATTTAAAACAGCATCTTCTAATATTTCTCTGTGGTTTTCATATAGTACCAGTACTATCATTTGCTTCCCATTAATTCTCCCCACAAACAATATTCAAATAAACATATAACAATATGGGTCACCTCAAGACCCTTTGTGTCCTTACACCTGGGAAAACCATGCTCTCTCAGGAATTAGGGATCATCTGCTCCTTTGGCTTCATTTCACATTTGGGGAAATTGACCTATAGAGGGGACACTGACTTGCCCATCATCACCCAGAAATCAGTAAGAGTCAGGACTCAGAACTCTCAGGGAAAGCTTCCTGGAGTATCCACCTGCTGTCACAGGAACCTCCTTTGAAGATCAATGAGAGAATGAGAGAATGTCCCCCAGAACCCTGTTCTCTACTGCTCAGGACCTAAGGAATCCTGCCAAATCCTGGAGCATAGTAGGGAGGGGACAGGAGACAGAAAGGCTACTGCCCAAGCCACACTGTTTTCAGTCCCAGCTCTCTGAGTTCAATTGTTCCACAGTTTAAAAGTAGTTGAAAAACAGTCAGATTGAGTCCCCAGTAACAGAAATCCAGAACAGATTTTTGTTGCACTCAATTCTTAATGAATAGGTTGTCTAGGCTACACACACACACACACACACACACACACACCTTTGCAAGTCACCAAAAGGACAAAGAATAAATGGACAGTTCCCACCAGGTCAGGGCTGTAAGAAAACTGCAAATTGGAGTAAGGGAAATCAGGAATGGATCTGAATTTAACAGAAGCTGAGAAAAGACCTTCTAGGCTTGTCCTAGAAAGAATGTACAAATTTACAAACCACTCTCTCCCAAGCATCAGGCTTTGCCTGTGGCATTTGCTAGAGAACTAGACTAGAGGTCAAGAGAGCCAGTGTCTAGTCCAAATGGCCTTGGATTGGTTGTTTTACCTTTCTGGGTTCCAATTACATAACCTGCAAAAGAGGGTAAGACAATATTTCCCAATTCAGAGTGCCCAGCTGCTTTCTAGGAAAGAGAAGACCCCTATCTGCCCTGGGTAACCTCACAGTCTTGCCTGCAAGGTTTCCTTAAAAGAGAACCACACAAGACAAGATGTAGGCTCCTCCCTCAAGCACTACAGCTGCCTCAGGGGTGGGGAGGCTTCCTGGAGGAGCTGAATCCCCAAAGACTATAGATCCCTGATTCCCTTAGTGAAATGGGGATATTGCCAGCCTTGGTGTGCCATGGTATGCCCTTCCACACAATAAATGCCCCAAGGACCTCCAGACTTTGAAAAATAGTAAAAGGCCAAGGGGGATATGACTGGTGAGTTTTCAGGGACTGGTATTTCTAGCTCCTTGCATCAAACTGATGGTCTCACAACAAAGGACAAAAGGAGACAGTTGACAGAGTAGAAAAGGCTCCTGGACTCCTGGTCAGATTAACCTCCCCACCCCCTACCGGGGATTGAACCTAGGGGCACTCTGTCACTGAGCTATATCTCTAGCCCTAAGTTTTCCAGGCTGAGCTTGGACTTGCAATCCTCCTGCTTTGGTCTCCTGAGTAAGTGTGCTTCTGTGTGCCTGGCTTGTGATCAGCCCCTCTTGACCAGGCCAGGGCATCTCAGCTCTGATAAGCCACCCTTGGAGGGTAGAGGCCATCAGGGCTAGCAGAGTACAGCAAGTAAGAACCCATCCCATGCCCTCATTCACCCCTACCCACCCAGGGAGAAGGTCTACCCCCAACGTCACACACTCTGAGGGAGGGATTACACATACTCCCAGCTTCCCTCAGCTGTGTGTCCTCTTCCAGGATCCCAGATAGCCCCAGAGTTGTCAGGGAGTCAATGGAGATGGAGAGGAAGCATAGTTCCTGGAATCCTGAAAGGAGGGTGTCTATATCTAAAGATTTGTTGCTAACCATGGGACCCTGGGCAAGTTCTTTTCTTCTCTGGCCTCAGTTTCCCCACTAAGGGACCAGACTATCTAGTCACTACAGTTGCTCTTAGCCTCCTTTTTTGGTGGTGCTAGACTAGCTGCTATCTAGAAAGACTTGGAGTCACCAATTTTTTTTTTTTTTTTTTTTTTTTTTTTTTTTTGTGGGAGGGAAGGAGCAAGACAGAAGCTGCCCATCACTCACCTGCTGCTGCCTCCGAGGAGGTGCTGAGCTAAGTACAGTGGTCTGTGGGGCAGAGACCCCAAAGAGGTTCAGGGAAGGCTCCAGGGAACTGCCACCTTCAAGTTGAGGGTGCAGACACCACTACCTTTATAGGAGGCTGTGCGTGCGGCCACGCCTCCTTCTCTGAAGCTCCGGGACGGGACAGAGGGAGGGGCAGGGAGGGGGATGGTCGCTTCAGGAAGGAGAAGTGGGTAGGGGTATAGATGAGAACCCACTACGGGAACCTCATCTAGGTTCTGGCACGGAAGAGGGTGAGGACTGGGGACACTTGAGACCCCCCACTTTCATGGACAGCCCCAGAACCCAGCCAAGGGAGGGGTTTGATGGAGAAGTCCCAGAAAACCTGAAGAGAGGGTATGGGGGCTCCATCCTGGAGCACCTGTACTCATCTCCATCATTTTTACGCCCACCAGAACACAGGGTGGACAACTGCTTTTCTACCCACTATAAGCCAATGGGTGGCAGGCAGACAGGGGCAGGGTCGCTGGATGGTGACCACCTTCCCCGGGGCTAGTGAGTCCCAGCTTGCATGAGAAGCTCAGCGACCCTAGCCCCAAGGTCACCGGGCCCAAAAGGCCACAAGCGCCCTGTTCTCCCAGAGCCTGGACAGCCAGTAGAAGTTCGCGCTCCTTGATGGAGGGGCGGGAATACATGGTACGGCTGAGCGCTAACGGCTCGCTGCCACCTCCTAGGGGCACCTTAGGTTGCAACGCAGGGACACCTCCACCCGGGACCCACCCGCCCTCGAGCTTCCCTCTTGATTCCCAGGACTGCTACAGCTTTGATTGGCGATACAGAGAAACTAGGCGGCGAGTGGGGCTTCGTGCGGGTGGCCGACCAGAGGGTTAGGAGTCCCGGGGCGAGGGTGGGAGCCCAGGAACCAGGAGGGGGCGCCTGGCGCGCAGCTTCCCAAGCTAGCTCGCGTGCGCCTGCTACATCCCTCCAGGGGGCAGAGGTCGGGCCGCCCATCCCGGCCCCACCTGGCCCGGGGCGCGGTGCCCTGGAGTTGCGTGAGAAGAGCCCGGAGGTTTGCACAGCCACCCAGACGCCCAACTCTCCGGCTTGGCGCGGGTCTCAGCACAGTCACGCGAGGCGGGGGAGGGGTATCGGGGGCGTGGCTCTTAAAGTGCCAGTCTCTGCAGGGCGTAGGGCTGGGGGGTGGAGGTAGAGAGAAGAAAGCGTCGCGAGTGCGCGATTGGATGGAGCGGGACCGCGGTGCAAAGGGCCAGGGTTTGCGTGCGCAGTAGGCTTCTGCATGCCAGGAAGGTCTACATGTGTCCACATTTTTGGTCCACGCCTGCGGCAGAACACGCAGTCCCTGTGCTGCCCTGCACGCCTGGCTTTCTGCCTTGGAGGAAGGGTCAGGACCCCTACGGAGCTCTCTTCATGTGATATATCCAGGGAGAAAAGTTTTATTCGCGTGTCTAGCTGAGCCTGTCCCCAATTAACATCACTGTCCTTCTCTGACTAGCTCTGGAACTCAGCACTGTCATGTATCCTGTAACCCAGGCCAGAAAACAGCCTCATTAGCCCCTTCACGTCCCACTCCAGTCAGATACCACCACATGCAATGCGCAAATATTTACCAAGCGCCATGTGCCTGGCACTATTCTGAGCCGGTGATTGATATAGAGGTGAACAAAAGTGATGAAGCTCCAGCTCTGATGGGCCTTACATTCTGATGGGGGAAACAGCTAATAGACGAGCAAATACAGAGAATAGCAGCAGGTGAAAAGTGCTATAGGGAAAAATAAATGAGCATAGAAGGGGTAAAAATGACAAAAAGATGTGCAATTCCACATAGGGTGGTTGGCAAACGACTCGCTGAGATGACACTGAACAGAAGCAGAAGTTTGCAATCAAGAATCTAGGTGCACAGGTATCTGGACGAAGAGTGCACCAGCAAAAGGAACAGAAATATGATATGTCAAGAGCTATGTAATGTTTTGAACAACTAATAATAAAAATAAATAAATAAATAATAAAAAAGAAGAAGGAGACAGAAAAAAAAAAAGAAGAAGAAGCCTTGCACATTTGCTTCTAGAGAGGGGTGGCAATACCAGAGACCAACGGAAATGTGTGGGGGTCGTGGGAATTCTCTTGCCATCTAGTTCCCTGAGGGGAAGGAATGAGATGCCAGGGGGGACCCTGACACCTGTGCAGGGAGCACACCATTAAGAAACATGAGACTTCCTCAATGTGAGATGGAAATTTTACTGGGGTCTGAGCTGAGCAATCACTCTGGCTCCTGTGCCCAGAATATACTAAAGAGGCAAGGACACTTCATTTTGAAGACTGTTCAGCTCCACTGCCACACCCTCATCTAGACCTTCATCATTACCCCTAAAGTACTTAGCCTTCAAACTGGGTTCCCATTAACCTTTTGATCTTTCCAAATCTTTTTTCCCCAAGGAGCCCTTTTCAGAAATGCAAAACCTCTTGGGGCTGGGGCTGGGGCTCAGTGGTAGAGCTCTTGCCTAGCAAGTGTGAGGCACTGGGTTTTATCCTCAGCATTACATAAAAATAAATAAATAGAATAAAGACATTGTGTCCATCTACAACTAAAAAATATTTTTTAAAAATGCAAAACCTCTTTCTGTCACCACCCTTTTAAAACAGATTTACTCCTAAGTCCCCCCTACTCTGAGCCTCAGATAAAACATCACTTCTTCCAAAATGCCTTCCTGAATTTTCTCCACAGCAGATTAGATTTCTCCTGGTCTCCAGTTCTAACACCTTTCTCCAAAATAATTCTCAGTATATTTGACATATACTATGAACCAGACCCAAACTTGCTACTTCTTTTTGGTTTTACAGAAAATCAACCTGTGGGAAATTGATTTGATGTGCCAAGTTCAGGTAAGGCATGAATGTCTGGTAAAGGAATTGGACACAGCAGTATTATAGATGGTGTACACCGCAAGAGTGAGGTGGAACCCAAAGTGCTAATGCTATCATGGTGGTACTAATGCTCTAATGGTGGTGCTTGGGCAACAGAATAGGCAGGAAATAAGGGAGCTGGGCTATTTCAGAATTCTTCTAGTAATTCCACTCCATACATCCTGACTCCACCTGAGAAGAAGTCTGGCCTTCTGTTTTAGTTGGAACTAGAGCTATAGAGAGTAGAATGAGCCCATGTGGAAGCCATGGAAAAGAAGTGAGAAGCAAAGCAGTCCCAGACTTCCAAGCCTGTTCTGCAGCCTACAAACCTTTCCCTCAATTTCCCTGAGTCTCCACCAAAGCCCCAGCTTGAGAGACTCATGGCAGCCCACTCAGCAGGGCCTAAAGACTATCTAGTGCTGGGGCTCCTGGCCAGGGACCCAGGAAATCCTTGTTCTTGGTGCTTTGCGTTACTCATGTTCTCTTGACTCCAAACAAATTCATTAACAAAGTTAACAAAGCCAATTCCTTCTCAGGTGGAGACCCTAATGTCAGGAAGGAAAAAGTCCAGTGACATGTGGCAAATCAACTAAGAACTCTGATTTCTTGCTTCCAGGCCAAGGCACTTCCTGCTGTGATTTTCTGTCCAAGGTTAGAAGCAAAACCATAGGGGGCCAAAGAGGATAAGATCAGGGCCTGGGCCAGGGCTTCCATTTCCCCAGACCCTGGAACAGGAGGAGTCAGGTGCCCAGGGGTTGCAGGAGGCCTTGCACTTTGCTTTAGGCAGCCCTGTCTGAACTAATAGCACAAAGTCAGGAGGGAGCCCTTACTGAGCCCTGGACAGAAAAGAAGGTTGAGTGGCAGGAGGTTTGAGGACCTTGGCCTGGAGCTGAACACCCAATCCTGGGTCAAAGTTTGCATGCCTTTGCGTGAGAAGGTTTTTGGCTAGAATTCCCTGCTGATTGATACCAGGAACTTAGGGGAAGAGGGCAGTGAGGAGGAGAGAGGACTCTCTGGGCTGGAGGAATACAGACAGCTGAGGGTCTTAGCCTAGCAAATCTATTGTGCCTAGAGTCTTCAGTTGGCACTGCTGAGGTCTATGTGGCAGGGGGATGGGAGACAGACAAGACCCATAACAAAGTCCTACCCTATGGTGGAAACAGGAGCCACACCCCACACAGAGCCTGTGCTAAGCGTGGAGATGCTATGGAAGCCAAGAAGGCTGGGAGAGTGGCAGAGGCATTTAAGGGACCTGGAGAGGGAGGAGCTGGAGAAGAGTCTCAGAGTGCAATGAACGTGCTTGCACCTGGTAAGGCACGGGCAGCATGCATGGCATGAAGAGAAGCATGGGAGACCAGACAGGGAGTATTGTTTTGGGAAGAGTGGAGTTTGGGTGGATGCCCAGAGCTGGGACTGTCTCCCAGTATATCCCTCACCCCACTCAGTGACCCTCTACCACAGCTGAGATCTGAGCCCTGAGTACCTTCCCCTCCTCTCCTTCCTGTTCCCAGGGAGCCATAGAGATTTAAGTTGCAGGTCTGGGGGTCAAATGAGGCAACCCTTGGCTCCTTGACTCTTGGCTGCTATAGTTAAGGTGACAACACTCACGTGGGACAGTCTTGGTCTGAGCCTGTTGTCTTGGCATAATTATTAAAAGTGCCCTCTTTCATTCTGAAAAGATATCTGATAATAAGTTATATGATTACCCCAGTGATAATCGGCATCTGAGGGGTTTGTGGGACCCAGCATCCATTCTCCCTTCTTCTGGTAATACCAAGTCATTTGTCCTTAGGTGAACATTCAAACCATTATTCTCAGTCATTAGGTTTTGTACAGCTGATCCCACCCCCGGCCAAGACAATGAGAATTCTGTGTTTTAAAGAAGTCACTGGAAAAAGGAGGTTCTCCTGCCAGAAGTGGCTATGCTGGTTGGAAAATAAGTCTGAAGTCTGGAGTTTTCAGTGGGAATTTTTAAATAAAATCACTGAGGAGAGGGAGAAAGGGAAAGTCTGGAGGATACTATGCACCTAGATCCAGTTATTCCTGAAACCATTGAAATTTACCACCGAACGTCCCTGTTATATGAACTAAATCACCATCACTTCTCCTGTCTCCTCCTATCCCTTTTTTCCCCTTCTTTCTCCTTTTCTTCCTTTCCGCCTTTTCCTGTTATAGTATGAGTTGGGTTTTGAGAATGTGCAACTACAAGAATCATAACCCAAACCTGCCACCCTCGGAGTTGTACCCAGCAGAGCTCTCTGGTGGCTGAATCTTGGCATGTGCATGCCCCTAGAAGACCTACCCAGGTTGGACAGAGTCCTAAGAAGTTACTCCTGTCTAACAGCAGTGTCCCCACACTCACTTTAGCCTCAGTCACTCCCTGGGTTCCTCTGGATGGTGAAATTCCAAATGTGCCTTCTGTCACAGTGGCCCCTGATTTTGTTCTTTCCTCTGCCCCATATTCATAGCTGTTCTTTCTCTACACTGACACTGGGCAAATTACTTAGCATCTCTAGACCTCCTTTGATCAACTGGAAAATGAGGCTATAGCAGTACCCATCTTATAGGCTTCTGTGAAGCTAAAACAGATGGGCCATGTTAACTATGCAGCACAGAGTTTGGGGCATAGTAATTGCTCAATAAACTTTGAGTGTTATTACTTGCAATTCCTGTAAGACCAGTGCAGGAAATGCACTATGAAGAGTTTTTATAAGCTCTTGTGCAGGTTCACACTCTTGCTTTTTTAAAAATATTTTTTAGTGTTGGCAGACCTTTATTTTATTCATTTATTTATATGCGGTGCTGAGAATTGAACCCAGTGCTTCACACATGTGAGGCAAGCACTCTACCACTGAGCCACAACCCCAGCCCCCACACACTCTTGCTTTTGAACACTAATTGACTCAACAGATCTCTAAGTGCCAGTCCCAGTGCTAGAGACTAGAAATACAGAGAAGCAGAGATTGCCTTGAGCTCTGTATTAGTCAACTTTCCATCACTTTTTACAAATACCCGAGTTAATCAACTTAAAAGGATAAAGGGTTTATTTGGGTTCACAGTTTTAGAGGTTTCAGTCCATGAGCAGTTGGCCTTGTTGCTTTGGGTCGTGGGGCCATATCATGGCAGGAAACATGTGGCAGAGCAAAATGGAGCACCTCATGGCAGGAAAGTGACAAGAAAAGAGAAAGAGGAAGGGACCAGGGTTCCACAATCCCCTTCAAGGGCATGTCCCAGTGACTCAAAGACCTCCAACTAGCACTCCATTTCTATTTTATTTTTGTATTGGGGATTGAACCCAAGGATGCTTAACCACTGAGCCAATCCCAGCCCTATTTTGTATTTTATTTAGAGACAGGGTCTCACTGAGTTGCTTAGGCCCTTGTTGCTGAGGCTGGCTTTGAACTCGCAATCCTCCTGCCTCAGCCTCCTGAGCTGCTGGGATTACAGGTGTGCACTACCATGCCCAGACCCTCATTTCTTAAAGTTTTTACCACCTCCCAGTAGCATCAAGCTGGGGACCAAGCCTCTAATGCAATGGCCTTTGGAGGACACTCATAGCAACCTCCAAGGAATTCACGGTCCGGAGAGGAGACTGTGACGGGCGCTGCTGAGGAGGGCGGTATGGCAGCTGTGGGAACTCAGAGGAGAGGTGGGGACCTGGCCATTGTGGTGACAGCTGAGTAGGGTTTAAAGTGAAGAGCAGGAGTTGGCAGGAA